ATAGTGTATAATGTTACAAATGCTTTTTATTTCAGATAAATGCTGATCTTTGGATCATTCTATTCATCAAAGAATCCTGTAAAAAAAAAATACTCAACTATTATAAATATTATTATGAATAATAATAATAATAATAATAAATGTCCTTGAGCAGCAAATCAGCATATTAGAATGATTTCTGAAGATCATGTAACACTGAAGACTGGAGTAATGATGCTGGAAATACAGCTGCGCATCACAGAAATAAATTACATCTGAACATATATTCACATAGAAAGCAGTTATTTTAAATAGTAAAAATATTTCACAATATTACTGCTTTTGCTGTATTTTGGATCAAATAAATGCAGGCTTGGTGAGCAGAAGAGAATTCTTTAAAAACATCACAAATCTTACTGTTCAAAAACTTTTGACTGGTAATGTATATCATAACAATATTTTAAAAGATTACTATTAGTAGTACTATTACTTTATTTTATATTAATTATTGTTATTATTTGGTCAGGCTTGGAAGCCAGTTCCAGTTCCACCACAAACCATTGGAATTCAACAATATATCGTTTAAAATTAGTTTAAACAATCAAATCTTAACATTTGGCAGTCTGATGTCTGATCAAATCAAGACAGAAATGTTAAAATGGCTGTTAGATATTATACTATATCTGGTATCATTATTCATTATTCAAATTAAAGTCAAGTGCATTGCATTGCATTTTGGGATAAAGTATTCCATATAGTGTGCTATGGTTGTATACTACTGTACATATTTTGATATGCATTGAGAGAAATTGCAAACTATGCAAAAATATGCATACTGTAAAGGTAGTATGGTACACTCTCAGAAAAAAAAGGTACAAAAGGTACACCCTTGTACACTTTAGGTACCAATATAGACTCTTTAGGTACAAAGGTGTGTCTTTTGAAAAGGTGCCGCCCCGGTGACAACTTTTGTACCTTTTTTTCTGAGAGTGTAGCATGTTATTCCAAACCTCTCTGCTTTTTTCTCCTCAGCGTTTCCACGAGCTCATCACGCCCTCGCCGGACCTGCCCAAAACCAGACGAGAGCAGGAGAAACTTCAGGCCATCTTTGCAGCCGACGGCGACGCTC